AGTGTCCCTCGGAACGTACCCTGTGAGTGACCACTGACTCAGCGCCGGCAGCAAAGATACGGAAAGTAGAACAAAGGCAGGCGTGCGTGCGTACCCATCGGAATATGCATGTTCTTGCTACATGCTCGTGCGGCGGCCAAAGGCCACTTCTCTCCGGTGATATCGCGCCGAGCGGTGCTGGATGGCCACATCCGACACGTGCGATGAACGACTCAGCGATTTTCGGTGCCGTCGATTGCGCGCCAAATATCAGAAAGTGCAGGGCTGGTCGTGAACCAGAGTCGACGCGTAGGCACTGGCAGCGCATCCACTGTTCGTCCAATGAACGCCGTATTTTCATGAATGAGTGTTGGTGAGTTGGTGTCAGTCCGAGGTTGCATGCGGTGATACACGGGCGCTTGCCGGTGAACTAGGCACTGACACAATGGCAACAGCCTGAGCTGTGGGTTGGTATGGAGCGGGTGCGGTCACGTCCAACGGGAAGGCACACAGTTTGCTGCTTCTTCCAGGCACTCAGGTAGCCCTGCCCTCACATACCCGAAGAACGAGAAAGCAGAGGCTGCAGAGCATCCGAGGGGATGGTGCAATGATGAATGATACATACAACCAGCCGCGTACATACCAGCATGTACCGTGCGCAATGCAGCCAAATGGTATGATTCGACCTTTGAAGTCAGCTAACGCATGGCCGTCGTTTACGGGTCGGCCCCCGATGCGTAAGATGCTGGCCAAGTAGCATTCCCCAGGCGACTTGTGCTCCTGAGAAGGCCTGAGATCTTGGGCTCGAAGTCCAGCAGATGTATTCATGACGAGCGCATACGAAGGAATGAGCCGGGTATTGCAGCCAGTGGAAGAAGACAAGACGACACCGACGCCGCAGCGCGCGAGTCGGAGCGCTCTGAGTTGATCTGAGATCCCACCCCCGGGTTCGGCCGTGGCGTCCACGCAGTGTAACTTTCAGAACTTGTCCTCACGCCGCGATGCAAAACGTGGGCTCTAAACCGCTCAACTGCGTGTCTTGCTGACTCTCTCCTGTGGGAGGTTGCCAAACAGATCAGCCCGTCGAACGCAACAACAATGCCTGAATGTGAACAGTTTCAGGCTGACATCGATCTCTACCGCTCCTGCGACGGGCCATCGAGCCTCAAGCCACGCAGCGGCCCTTTGCCAAAATTCCCACCCATGCGCAGGTCGACCGCAGGCAGCGGTATACAGCTTTGCCTTGTTCCTTTTTGAGAATCAGAGCGGCCTGATTCTCCGCGAAATGGAGTGGGAAACCGGCGAGTGCCTTCCTGGGCAAGGGTATGGATGGCCGTGATGTAAGCACTTGCTGTGCACTTCTAGAACCCGCAACGACTAACCACCATGGCTGGCCTTCTAATTGTTATGACCGTGCGTCGGTTATAGGTCGTTGTATGACAGCCTGCGGACGGTCGGCATCGTCCGACGCACCTATCTGGACCTAGCGTCACTTAGGCTCTTCCCACCGGTACCATGAGGTCAAATCTCAACCCACCTAGATTGACGAACGGGTATGTGGTTTATGTGCGAAGCCTCAGCGACGTCCGGTCACCATGCTAGCTTCCAGGAGCATTTGAGGCACGACCTGCCGTTACCACCAACCATCTGTGCATCCCAGGAAGACAACGATTGTGCGTGCTGGTATACTTGGAGTTGATGCACAGTAACTGAAGATGCTGCAGTAGCTCACACATGATACATATGAGTGACCCGATCGGGAGCTGCGACCACGGTGGCCACTCTCCAACGAGTGATCCTTGTCTGCCAATGCTGTGTCATCAGTACACCTACGTGACACTCAGCGACCAATCTAACCTTTGGCAGGATGCGCCGAGAGCATGTCCGCATGCCCTGTGACTCACTGATCCAGACTCCAGAGCATCCTCGGTGAATTCTCATAGCGGTCTCCCGCAGCCCCAAGGCAACGCCGGTTCTCCCGCCCAACTCCGATGCACTCAAGGATGGGTACCTGGATGCGCGAAGTATGACATTGCACCCATGGCTCACTTGCCGATGGTGTTCGTCAGCGATAGCATTTTGTTGGCATCCGTCACCTCGGAGCGATCGACCTCGGAGCTGACGGGCGGGCGCGCAGTGAGACTCAGATGCAGTGCACGCGGGATGACACCCGGACGCCCTCCTCATGTACGAATGTTATTCTGGGCGGAAGCTGCAGGATGTAACTTGCGCTCTCGTGCGGGTCTGGCCACCGCTTGTGAGTACAAACCCCTATGTATTACACTCACACGACTGATAATTCTTCCTGCCACGTCCTTGATACGCGCCTGTATGATAGCTGTAGCTCGGTGGCCGAACCTTACCTTTCTCCTCCTCCTTGGCACATTTACGCCACCTGATGCTATAAGCCGTTCTCAGGACGGAAACATCAGCTTCTTCGGCTTTCATTCCCTCTGCCGTTGTCGTTGATGGTCATGCTTTGACAGATTCGCGCACTCGTAGCAAGGCATTTACCTGTCACAGGCGAGTCGGGCGTTAGCGGTCGTACGACCCACTAACCACCCTTCTCTCCGTTGCGCCTAACAATGATCCAATACGTTCACACGATTTCCACGGCTCGAGCTGTTCCGTTTCTGTCTCGGACGCCGACGACCTTGTTCTCAAATCATGCGCGTTAGGTGAAAGAGCGGACCGCTGAATGCATCCAATCGCCACCTTGGTGCAACATCGGGATACCGAGGGTCTACATAGTACTATCAAAGAGGCCTATCGAATCCGCATCTCCATCTCCTTCGGAATCGCAGCCGCGCCTCCTGCTGCCGCCGAGACCGTGTTTCAAAATTCACGCACATCGGAGCGCCCTCGTAGAGAGGACATCTCTCAAAGTGGACGCATTGTACTTACACGTGGCTACCCTCAACCTACTGTATCTCGACCGCTGTACATAGCGCAGACGATGTCATCACCTTCCGCTCCGTCTCCTTACACGTTGGCATACTGTCATACGCCCGCCTTATCTTCGCCATCCGCGCTGGTTCATACGTCCAGTCCTCTCCTCTCCGTCACTCGATATACGCAAGACGGAGGGCCTGAACGGAAACTGAATCCGAGTCCTGAGCTGCGCTGAGCAGCTGAGTCGAACTAGATCAAACAACAAGAACTAATTCAAGGTGTGTCAACACCTCTGTGCTTCTTCCACCATTCGCCGGCTGGCTGCTAGCCTGTCAGTCCTATCCCGCCAATATATCCCTGCATGGTGTTTGTGATACATGGAGCTGTATGGGCTGCTCTGTTCATCTAGCAGCCCTCAGGGACCACAGCAACAGGCTCAGTACCTCCGAGTCGCTGCGGCACATCGTCACGACGAGTATCAGCTTCCAAAATGTGAAGGGAGGCGTGAGTGACCTTGGAACACCGTTTGTACCGCAGCACCTCAGGTAGCAGGACTGGGTCTGCTGACCCAACGTCAGGCTCATAAAGGCAGCGTAACTTGCATGCATCCTGGTAGGAATCCCCCTTGAAAGGACCGCCCTTCCTTTCCCTCGACCTCAGTCTCAGTGGAGAACTCATGTCAGGTATGGGATTGACTGCCTAATCTCAAGAGCGTCGATGTCTAATGCGCCTGGATCTGTAGGCCCCAACGAACACTCGAACTGTTTTTCTCGCCCACATCGATATCCTCAGAGTATTTATATGGGGAGAAGAACCCCAAGCCTCCAAGTACAGATGGGTATGGAAAGCCGAGAGCAGAAGCTCCGCTTTATTGCCGTATGTCCTGCCCAATTGCTCACTGGCACGGGTTGCAGAATATCTTACCAAGTCCGACCTTGTCACAGGGCATAATCCGGCAGACGTGCCGCAAACACAACGTGGATCTTTACCTCCGCTATCACGAACAGGATATCAACCAGCTGCTTACAATTAGAGATGAGGTATGTGCGGATCACTACCGCAATATCGTCGTTTGAGTGCGGCTAACAACCGACTGCAGGTTATCAAAGAAATACCGGAGCTTCGGGAGTATGAGGAGGGCTGGCCGGTACTCTTCTACCTCAAGGTCACCCTGCACGACCACGGTGGGCATACTCCGCGCAACGGTTCGAAAGGGAAGAAACGAGTGCTCAATGAGGTATTGAACGGTCCACAATGAGTTGTTGACTTGGGCTCATGTGCGTCGTTACAGAACTGTCCGCTCAGTCCGGAGTCGCTCGCACAGAAACGTCAGAAGCCGTTCCGTGTTCCTACCATCGTCCCTGGACCCCTCCGTTTCGCGAAGCATGTCTCTCTGAACAGATCTCGGGAGATACTGAAGACACCACAGGCCAGTGGGCCCCTGCGTGATGCTACGAGTGGTGCGGCGAACGACGAAGATGTGATCATCATCAGTGACAACGAGGACTCAGTCACAAAGGTAGATGCTCCTGCATTCACAGAGGCTGGGAGTTACTAACTTCCAATTGCTACCAGAGTACGCGCACCTCGACCGCAGCTTCTTCGCAGTCGCACTGCTCTTCTCAGGGTACCCTCTGCGGCTTCAGCGCAAGCTCCTCGTCGTCTTCGCCTCCACGACATGCAACCAAGGCACCCCGCTCAATTCTGGACATGCTCGTCTCTGGTGGCATCCCTCGCATGGATGCACAACACCTGACACGGCTCCTTGCGTCGTTCGGGATTGCGACCAGCGAGTATCTGAGGGCGCTGGCTCGAATGCACTCGCGAGATGTTTGGCTGCTCGAGCTATTGGGCCAGAAGAAGGTCAGCGAGATACAGATGAGGATTTTACGCGACATCCTCGATGGTCTCGCGGGAGATCACTGAATGTGGGATGTTGGAACGTGAGATTGTCCAGGCAAAATTTGTGTATTTGTATCTTGTACCTACACCTGTTGTTCTTTCTGTGCGCTGCTATACTTATGGATGACCTTGACGACGGAGAGTTAGCTGTGATTCTGTAGCCGTCGAGGACGATAGTTAGTGTACACAGACAGTACCAATCAAAAAGATACTATCTTCCGAAGGGAGGGCCTGGCCGGGAATTGAACCCGGGACCTCCTCCAATTTGGGTACACCTGTGGTGCAAACCCAGGATTACCCTAAGAAGGAATCATACTACTAGACCACCAGGCCACGCTACTGGAACCCGGCGTAGGCTATCCAGCGAGCACAGTCCCCTCCGAGTGAGGCAGACAGCCTTGCGCCAGCGTCCGTGTGTTGACTTGTAATTACTGCGAGCGCGGGGTCGAATGCAAGCCTTCCACTGTTTCTCTACTCACCTGCGTCGGTCTCTCGTGCATGTCAAGGACTCACCGGAATGCCTCGCGGGATCCCCAACGCCAAACGAGATGAATCAGCGCTGCGCTACACTTCCTTCCATGTGCCCCTGGCGTAAGTCCACTCGCCTGCTCACGTAGAATGGATCTCTCACAACATATACTCAGGCCGAACCCAAAGCACGTTGGCTCGACATATCTGAAGTCAGATTCGCAAAGCTTGTGGGCGAGGAATGCCGTTCGTGTGCATAGGACGCGGAACGTCCTTGATGAGACCGGGGCTGCCACTCCTACCGAGGTAAGTTACTTACACTCGTCTCACCGCATCCCAATCTGACGTGTTGCAAGACTCGGAGAGGTGCAAAAGTGATTGTTCTTCACCCAGGTTCCCGTTTTCTACGAATAGGACGCGCCTCGGACGTCACGCCTCTTACCGTGCCGAATGTTATTGCGCGGAAGCAATTCGCGCCAGTTCCTCCACAGAAATATCTCCCGGGTATCTCGCGACCACGCGAAGACAGGAGAAGATCGACACCTTCTATTACACCACCGACTGGAGATGAGTACGCCGTGAATATAGCTTCAGATGATCCTGTACGTGGACAGTGCTACGTCCCCACGAATGAATGCAAAGTTGAGTGCGACACCACTGCAGTTCGATGCGAAGGTCGCTGCAATCACGGTTTCCTTGCGTGATCGCATGCGCTTCTACAAGTTGCGTGTCACGACGAACGCCGCCGGAGTCGCAACAGCGTTCAATGAGCAGTTCAAGCCTGAGAAGATACCTGCGGAGAACGACCCATTCCACGTTGACTGGATCACCTCTTCAGACGAGCCGTACCTGGTTGGTGAGAAGGCTCTCCGCTTAGCAAACCCGGAAGAAATGGGTTATGCCGTGAGATGGCCGATATATGGCGGGAACTTCAACACTCGCGACTACCCATCACCACAGTTCATCCTCAGCGATATCGAGGCCATTCTACGAGAGTCCTTGAGAATGAAGGACATCGAGCCTAGCATGTACAAGGTCTGTCACGCCATAAGGACTAGGTCTGCCTCTCGTTCTTACACATATGTTGCAGGAGTACTCAGTGGTACTAGTCATCCCGGACTACTACGACCGCCTGTATGTAGAGAGTCTATCAAGGTTGCTGCTCATCGATATGGGCTTCAAACAGATATGTGCTCAACAAGTACTGGCATTCACGAACATACCCCATATGTCCACTAACATCATACGCGTAGGAATCACTCGCCGCGACATACGGAGCCGGAATTTCAAATGCATGCGTGGTCGACATGGGAGCAGTCAAGACGAGCATTGCCTGTGTCGATGACGGCATGGTCATCGCTGATACAAGGTACGAAGCACACTTCTACTGGCTTGTGACGCATGATCCCTGAATTCACGCTGCGATAGAATGGTGCTCAGCATGGGTGGGAACGATATCACCGAGTTCCTCTACGTGTTGCTTGAGAAGATCGGTTTCCCGTATAGCGATTGCGATCTTGCTCGTTCGTATGATTGGAGTGTTATGGAGGAACTCAAGGCACGGCTATGCACTTTGGCGGAGGTGGGTCAATACAGCCGGTTTACGGATCTCCCTTACTTACCCCCCATTACGAAGGGCGATGTGGCACTTAACCTGTACGACTTCTCAGTGCGACGACCTGGGAAGCAGACTGAAAAGTACGGTCTTCGCGCATACGATGAGATCATCCTCGCGCCCATGGCAAGTACTTACTCTACTTGAACGCCCTCGTCATCCTTACACAACTTCCTGCAGTGCCTCTTTGAGCCTCGCGTGATTGAGTTCGAGCAGAAGAGAGCGGGCATGCGGTTCCTTATGCGTGCGCCCGACATGGCGGAGGAGATGGTCGAGCAAAGTGCTGACAAGTTTTCCGAGAGATACGTGCGTCACCTCTCCCCCGACTGTACTCTGCTCGTTGTGTGCTCAGTGCGCAGCAGACACAAGCTATGATGATTTCCACGCAACATCTCTTCCCAGTATTACCCCCGCCGATCACCCTAGACCATGCGCCGCCAATGGCTACCCCTCCGCTCCAGACTCCCGCGACGACAGAGGGACAGTCTCTCGCTGTAACTCCTCAGCCGCCTGCGAGTGGTAAGTGGAAGGATCCTGCGATAGTACGCTCTCTCATCCACTTCTCGCTCAGGATCTGCCACAACTCCGGTAACACCTACTGCTGAGGGGACTCCTACACCTGCGAACGGCGCGAAAGAAGTCAAAGATGAAGATGTCGAGATGGCGGACGCGATACCCAAGGACAAGAATGACTCCGCCGAGGCTGACAAGGAGAAGGCTTCGGACGAGAAGGGCTCGTTAGACAAAGGCAAGGGCAAGGACATCGACAAGCCCCTCGAAGTCATCGACGTCGACGAGCTCGACACCAAGGCGCTCACCGCCCCCGCTGTACCAGCACAGGCACATCATCCCCCAATCCCGGTGTCCATGGCCTATGGCGCGTTCAACATCGACGTCAGCTTCGAGGCGAGCAAGCTCCCGCTCGATGTCGCGATCTTCAACAGTGCACGCGCGGCCGGAGGGGACGAAAAGATCCGGAAGTATCTCCAAGCCGTCCTCGTCATTGGCGGTACTGCACTGGTTCCTGGAATGGCGCATGCACTCGAGAGCAGGTGTGGGCTGGACTTCTGGCGGCCTGGTCCATTGGTGCACATACTGATTGATCGTCTTAGACTGCAGGCTATTGCGACACCGCTCGTGCCTAATATGGAGAAGGTGCAGATCATCCCGCCGCCCAAGGACGTCGACCCCCGTGTACTCGCATGGAAGGGTGCCGCGGTGCTGGGCAAAATGGACGGCGTCGCGGACCTCTGGGTGACCCCAGCAGACTGGGTGAGTACCTGGTTTCTCATATTCGGGTTCCTGATCTTCGTACACGTCGCTCTTCGTATCCCCTCCGCTCATGTCGTAGTTCCGGAGAGCATTTTCGACACCATCATTCAGGTTTCTCTCATTATCCTGCCTGGCCCTCCGCAGCTTCGCACGTCCGGGTCATTGTACCCTCCGTCCTGGCGTCCTGGCGGCCTGTTCCCATCCACACGTGCTGACGGTAAACGTTCTCTCCCGCAGGAAATCTTCGGCATGCGCGCCCTGAAGGAGCGGTGCTTCTACCTTTGAGCGTGCCTATCTTGGTACTTATGACCCACCCGATCAGTGGGCATTCACCACTCATGGCGCGTGCGTCCGACGAGGTGCCGTCCCAATTCTTGGATGTCGATGATATGCTACGTACGCGCGCCTGCATGCGACCTGTGACTACTCAGAGCGCAATGACAAATGATGAACTTTGTATCTGCAATGGACCCGGCTCTGGCCCAGCGTCGAACATGGAGACGTACAAGCCCCGACGGTTGGCAGCAAGGATCAGCTCCATCCGGCTTGCTGAGCCGGAATGGCGTCTGCACGGTGGATGCTGGCTGGCGTGCCTGAGGTCTCAGGTTCAGAGGCTTGTCAGACATATCTGGGGCAAGCGAGGGCAAGGCGCAGGTGAGTGACAATTCATGAACATCTTGGCACCCTGCATGAATGTTCAGAAACAGAACTTCGAGTTCCACCCTGTTCCACCAGATGTTCTGTTCCGTGCGCGGCGAAGTTCGCTAACATAGGCGTGGCCGGCCTTGCGGACATAGTGATGCACGAAAACGTATTCGCGACCCTCGTTCAAGTGCAGGCCTTGGAGAGTGCAGCGTATGGAAGGATGGTTCCAGCTCGCGAATACGTTCGTTATCCGCTGTCCCCGCTGCATGGGAATACAGCTGCGGCCGTGCGTCATGAAGCCATCTATCGCCGGTATCAATTGCTACGTACATTCTGGCTTCATGAGCGAGACGCATATATGCGGACATCCTGAAATGTCCTTGGTTCTCGGAGAACAGATTCTCAAAACGGGTGATGCGCGATACCTCCAGGCCCAGGACTGTGTTGTCGTCAAGGCATGGTCTTGGTCGGGAATCAAGGTTGAATTCAATGACCCACGGACACGGTACGGGGACCGGGGTCCGACATGCAGCGGAAGAAACTTCGAAGCTTCGAAGGCGAAGGTCAGCAAGGCACGGCAACGCAGCAATTGTATGCGCATGGCAGGAGTACTTGCTTTGCAGGGTTCGTGCAATCGGGCAGATGGGCAGCGGCAGGGGTGGCGACTCGGACAGGTGGGCGGCAAGAAGTCAAAGATGCGATGAGGATGCACGAGGAGTGGTCAGAGTCTACAGAACATGTCGCAAAGGGTAAGAGGGAGAGAGAGCTATGGAAGAGCGTATTTAGCTATACAAGGGATGTTAAAACGAGACGCTACGGATCACAAGGCCGATATGCAGGGGGAGAGCAGGGGATACGGTACAGCTGATTGAAACCGAGGCGCGAAGACGACAAGATTGGAAAGATGGCAACTCAGAGCGGCATCATGTACAGTTTCCGGATTCATTGAACTTGCAGGTCTAGAGGGCGAATGGATAGACTATGCGATGAAAGAGAGCAATGTCCGAACGAAAGGAGAGGTGGATCGTGACGGATTACGCAGCTTTCAGACGATCCTTCAGAGCGATGAAATCCTCCGATTTGTACTGACCCCAATTGTCGAACAGCAGAGCCATCTCAGTTTTCCCATTCCTACCAGCGTCGGATAAGAAAGTCGGCAAGTGACGTGATTGATCAGTACATGCCCCAAGCGCAGGGCCGTTGTACTCACCTCTCCCGCTGCTCCCACTCAGTCCTCGACGCCTTGCCTTGGCCCCACGCGAGGACTTGCTCGTCAACCTCTCCGAGCCAGCGTATCCCGTCGTGTGGTCTCCCAACGTCGCAGTTAGCAGTC